TCTTGTTACGAATGCGGCGAAAACCTCATTGAAAACGAAGGTCCGAGCGAAAAGTTATGAATTTTTTAGTGTTAAGTGGTCAAAATGCGTGATGGGTCAACCCGACCCAAAATGAGTTTAATTCGGGAAAAATCCGATTTTGGCCCCCTTTTTCACCCCATTTCACTTCTACAAACTTCTGGGGTTTTTGAGGTGCGATTTCACACATATAGGGAGTGATCTAACATCATTCTTGGTGAATCAAACAAGAAATTGAAGGTATAAAGCTCTTAACTTTGTCTATTTCATGTATTGGATCATTTGATGGAGATTAGGGTTAGGGTTTGATGTGAAATTGATGATATCTTAGTATTTAGAGTAGATTAGGATATATATTTTGTTATTTAGTAAAATGATGGATAAAATTACAAGAATTAGTGGAAATTATTGTATGAAAGTATGAATGTTTGACTTTTCAAAGTCAAAGTAGTCAAAATGATGATTTTGATAGAAAGAACATAGATTTCTGAAGTTTTTATGAAGATTATGCTATTTTATGAAAAACATTTGGATTTGGTACAATATGTTATAGAATTGAGCATGAAATGGTATATATGGCTATTTTGAAAATCGTATAAAGGTGAGTCCAGTGGTATTTAAAAGGTGCAAATGTTTAGTTTATTTTATATAAAGACGTCATTAATCTAATTACAGCTTTAAGATGGGTAAAAAGTGTACTTTGTACAGTGCTGTTAAACTGAATTTTGACAGCATGTAGCTGCTGTGTTGCAAAATTCGTATAAAATCAAAAAGAAATCGTGTAGATATGAGGTCAGTTCCATTTGAAAGATAATTGAGTCTAATTTAATTCATATTCAGAAGTCATTGAGTAATTTTGAGGTTTAGTGTGGTAAAACAGGGCTAGAACACAGTCCTGTAATAGGAAAATTAAAGTACAAAAGTTAACTAGTCATGGGGTTAAATTGAGTTATATGCATCCAATGCTCATGAAACTTAATGTACATACTGGACGGGATATTTGGAGCTTGTTTAGGGCTTCTAGAAGGTATCTTAGATAGGATCCTGTACAACGACTTTAGATAGGACCTTTTTATTTTTGGTCTTATAAATTGAGCCCTATAGAGTAATCTAATAGGACGCTATGAAAGTGATGGTGTCCTAAAAACTCAATTTTATTGTAGTGGTTGTCAGTGACAGTTGAAGCTGTTCAACGACAGCCTTATACAAACCTTCAGTGATGGCTAACGAAAGCTGAAAAACACAAGACTTAGTGAAACTTCTCGTCTTTTGCAACCTTGACATGCGATCCAAGGTGATAGGGGCAACATTTGTAGGTGTGCACTCCGGACCTCCAAACTTACCTATGTTTGCTTTATTGCGTTAATCAATCTCAAGTAAATCACAATTACACAGAAATATTTGATAACACTTAAATCACCAACATACCCATCACATACCGTTTTCAATGAAATTTCACCAACATACCTGGTAAGTGCTAACTGTGGTAAGTGTCGTCGCCCTCATTTACCGGGTAAGACTCTCGGTCCTTGCCTTGCTCTTATCGGGTAAGATTTTTGGTCCTTGTCATACTCATTCGGTAAGGTAACACGGCTTGGTAAGCACTTACCCGGGTAAGCGTTTGGTAAATGGCTCCTAAGACATGTTTTCATTTGACTTGATTATTATTGATGAAACAGAAGTGTTGAAATGTTTGGTGTAAATAAGCTTAGTTTCACTCTTAATTATCATCATAGCTAAGGTCATTCTTAGGATTCTTATTTTATAAATTGATGAATGTTTGGGTATTTTGGATTTCGTCTAGTATTTGAAGTTGCATTCGGATGTTTGTTTGAACATGGTTTTCGTTAATGCTTACATCATGGTTAATGGAGATAGGTTGCAACAACCACAAAAGATCCTCAAGCTCTAGACTTGCTCTACTCCTAAGGCATCTATCCGAACTCCATGCCCAACCTTTTACCCCAGTTATTGGACCAATTTTATCCCGCAACTTCACCTCTTTTACCCTTTCTAAAGCCCACAAGCGAGAACATCTATCTTTTAATCTACCATCCTCCAGCCATCAATCCCACCAAAAATCGGTATCTGCCCCATCACCAAACTTCTGCAAAACGAGTCCGAGATAGATAAACCTAAATCCTATATGTCTCTTATTGTCTTTATCACTCCTCCCTAAGCGCCTCAAGCATGAACCTACTATCTCAACCACTAAAGCTACTATCTCTATCATAAACGCTCGAAATAGTTCTATGCCCCAACGCTTCTCCCTCCGTTTTAAATATCCAAAGCCATTTCCCTAGCAAAGCTAAATTAATCATTCAACTACTCCCCACCCATAACCCCTCAAATAAGTATCACTAATTACACTATCCTACCGGACCCGGGAAGGATAACGCGACTTCCTACCCTCATCCCAAAAGAATTTGCTTCTTAATCTTTCAAGGGTTTGCACGGCGCCTATCTGGATAAGATACAAGGAGATGAGATACTAGACTGCTCAGCATGAATTTAATTAGCGTGAGTCTCCCACCCACCGAAATAAGCTTTCTGTCCAGCTGTCTAGCCTTGATTTCATCTTTTGGATAACCGAATGCCAAGATGCTTCTCAAACCATCGAAGCTCTAATTGGAGGCCTTAATACGTCTAGGGAAGAAATCCTGAGTCGCAATTTATAATTGTGGCCGCCTCTTCTATAGATTTATTATCCACCCCAATCCCATACAACTTACTTTTCGACAGGTTTATTCTAAGACTTGATGTTGGTTGAAAGAAAAGGAGTAAAACTTTTAGGTTCTTTGGGTTTGCCCGACTCTGTTTCCCAAAGGAAAGAGCATCATCAATAAATTGAAGATGGGAAACTTCGACTTTGTCTCATCCCACCTTCACTCCTTCAAAGAGCCCCGTGGACTTTGCTTCCTCCATAACAATATTCATCCCTCGCATCCCAATAAGAAAAAGGGAAGGTGATAAAGCGATCACCTTGTCTAACTCCTCGTTCATGGTTGAACTCTATCGTAGGTGAACCGTTGACCAAAATAGAGACGGATGGCGATGAAAGTCATGAGTTTGACCCATTTTCACCATCAGTTCCCAAACCCCCCATTTGGAGCATCAGATCTTCCAAATACTTCCAATTGACACAATCGAAAGCTTTTTCAAAATCAACATTAAAGAGAAAAGCTTTAAGACCAGATGTTATGAAGAAAGTTACCGATGCTTTGGCCTCTAGAGTGCTACCGAATTCTTCTTTGGAATATTTTCAAACAACCTTTTCGTGTCTTCAGTTTGCCGGTTCCAAACTTATCCAGATAGCATAGCGTTCCAACAAACCATGTTCTTATTAGTCATAGCATCAAACAAGCTCTTGGCATCATCCAACTCCCACATTTGGCATAACAGTTTAACATTGTTCTCCAAGATACAACATTTTTGCTCGCCATTTCATCGAACATTTGGCGGGCAACAGAAATCATTCCATTTTAACATAGCCATATATCATACAGTTCCAAGTCATGATATTCTTGATTGGCATCTCATTAAACACATGGAATGCAGCTTTAATATCACATTTCTAAAACACCTTGTGATTTTTAGTTGTATTGGAACAAAAAGTTGGAAGGCGAATTCTTGTAAAGGGGAAATATGTTTTATCATTTACATATTTGACACCAATAATCATATGTGAATGTGTATCACAAAGACTTTAACTTGTTTCATTAATTTTAAACACCAATTTAGAAATTCGTGTTAAATGACCTTGAAAAGTTATATATAAATTTGGAAAAAGAAATTGATGATAAATTTGTATTTAAAATAAGTATTTAAAGTTGAAACAATTGAATTTAAAAATAAAATTTATAAACTGAACAGAGAGGGAGTGGCAGGCCACTTGTTTGCCGGTGTAGATAGTTACACGATATATTTGTCGTCTTCTTCCCTTTCTTGCCCCTTGATTGAAAAAATATTTATCGTTTTAGTGGTCGATTGGATTTCCCTCATCGGCAAATTAGGGCTTTCGTCGTATGGTTGGAGATGCTCTAAGTTAGCGGGGTTCGGTTATCTTAAGAATTTACAACATCAAATATTGTTGTTATTTCCATTAATCCTTCAAAATATTTTCAAACCGTTTTTATGGGAAAATTATGAGCATCGTCTTTATTGAATGTTGGATCCCTTTTCTTCATATAAATCTACATGTTTGAGCTTTTTTTTTCCCAACCCACGTAATCAAATGCATTTAATTATGTGATTTGATCTCATATTCCTTGATCAGTTGTAATTTTATGTTTTGTTTTAGAGTAAATTACAATCTTTTTCCTTATAGATTGTCAAAAACAACACTTTTTGTACTTTAATTTTGAAATTATAAGATGACCATTATGGTTTTCAAAAACGTCCATATTTGATCCCTTCCTTTAACGGTCGTTAAAAATTCCGTTAAATTAAAAGCATTTTCGTTCTTTTATCGAATTTTTCCCTTTTTTACCCAATCAAAAACCACATGGATCAATTTTTGATTGGGTAAAATACAATTTTTTTGATAAAATTGCAAAATGCTCCTCATTTAAGGAACTTTCTAATGATCATTAGAGGGAGGGGACAAATCCAGACTTTTTTTTTAAATCACAATAACTATCTTGTAATCTCAAAACTATATGGAAGAAAAGTGTTATTTTCGACAAATGATATGGACCATAAATTCTATCTCTAAACTATATTTAGTGAATAAAATTATCAAGAAGCTATTTATTTTCATGAAGTTGGGTGAGCAGATATGGATATTAGAATGAAAGAAACTTTAATCAAAGTTTAAGGAATGTAAAATGTGAAACCTCGATGAGATAGAAGTGGGAACATGACAAATATTAATTTATAATATATATTTCATCATGAACGATGAATCCACAGACCACAAAAGCTCAACTTTGAATTCAAACCCCAAAGAGATATTGAAAGAAACAATCCTTCCATACTTTGAAATGGCTGAAATCATTCTGGGTGCAGTCATTGATGTGTTGTTTCAGAAGTTAGCCTCAGGTGACTTGATGAAGCTGGCTCGATCTGAAGGCATCCATTCCCAGCTGGACAAGTGGAACAACACTTTGCTCCACATCCAAACTCTACTTGTTGATGCAGCCAACAAGCACATCACAGATGGAGCTGTTGATTTCTGGCTGCGTAATCTCCAGGATTTGGCCTACCAAATAGACGATATACTCGATGATTTGGCCACAGAAGCTATCCGCCGCAAATTAAATAAAGATTCGCATGCCAGCTCCAGCACCAACACAGGTAAGCTACGGAAGCTAATCCCAAGTTGTTGTACTAATTTCACCCCTCATACCATTATTTATAGTCATAAGATGAGCTCAAAGCTAGATGAGATTACGACCAAATTGCACACTCTTTTTGATCAGAAACATACTCTAGGCTTGGATGTGAATGTTAAAAGGCCAAAGAGAAGAAATAGGAGGTTGGAGGAAACTTCACTTGTTGATGAGTCCAAAGTTATGGGTAGGGAAGGGGATAAAGAGGCATTGCTTCACAGGTTGTTGGGGAACGAAGCATGTAATCAAAATGTTAGCATCGTGTCTGTAGTTGGTCTCGGTGGGATTGGCAAAACCACTCTTCCCAAACTTGTGTACAATGAAAAGAAGGTTAAGGATCACTTTGAGCTCCGGGCATGGGTTTGTGTTTCTGAAGAGTTTGATGTATTTAATATTAGCAAGGCTATTTTTCAAGCTGTAGCCGGGACGAATCAAGATTTTGCTAATCTAGATCTGCTTCATGTGGCTCTTAAAGAAAGACTTTCCAACAAAAGGTTCTTAGTTGTTCTAGACGACGTCTGGAACGAAGACTATAGAGAGTGGGAACTCCTCCAAAGCCCTTTTGTTGTAGGGGCACCTGGAAGTAAAGTTATTGTGACGACCCGGAAGACCAAGGTTGCATCGGTCATGAACTCTTTTCAACCTTATGATCTCAAGGTTTTGTCAGAAGAAGAGGCTATGTCTTTATTTGCTCAATATGCAATAGATGAACAAAACTTTGACAAGCATCCAACACTTAAATTGCATGGTGAAGGCATTGTGAAGAAATGTGGCAGATTGCCCTTGGCTTTGATAACGCTTGGAAGGATGTTGAGGACAAAAACAGAGGAGGATGAATGGGAGGAGGTGTTGAATAGTGAGATATGGAGTTTGGACGATGGAAGAGAGATTCTTCCGGCTCTGAGATTAAGCTACCATGACCTCCCTTCACATTTGAAGCAATTGTTTGCATATTGCTCCTTATTTCCCAAGGACTACGTGTTTGACAAGAACCAACTCGTCTTATTGTGGTTGGCAGAGGGGTTCTTGAACCAATCAAATGGAAGGAAATCGAAGGAGAGCTTGGGTCGTGAGTATTTTGAAGAGCTAAAGTCAAGGACCTTCTTTCAGACGTCAACTACTGTGCAACCACGATACATAATGCATGACTTGATTAATGACTTAGCCACGAGTGTTGCTGGAGAGTTTTTCTTTAGGTTGGATGATAAAATGGACACTTATGACGTGAATGAATCTTTCGAAAAGTTCCGTCATGTTTCATTTATAGGTCGAGAATATGGAACATATAGGAAGTTCAAGGAATTACAAAGAGCTAGAGGCTTGCGAACGTTCTTACCTGTTTTTAGTTCCTGGTCACGTTTCAACTTATCAAACGAGGTTCTTGCCGAATTACTTCCCCAACTACAGTTCTTAAAGGTGCTAAGCCTACATGATCATTCGATCTCTGAGATACCACATTCCATTGGTAGTCTCAAGCATATTCGATACCTCAATCTTTCATATACTAACATTGAACGGTTACCAGAACAAGTCAGTGACCTCTATAATCTACAAAGCTTGTTGGTTTGTGGTTGTCAGAAGTTATCTAACTTGCCCATCAGTTTTGGTAAGTTGATAAACCTACGACATCTTGACATCAGCGATACTCCAATGTTGAACAAGATGCCCTTGGGTATCGGTGGGTTGACGGGTCTACAAACTCTACCTAAGGTCATTATTGAAGGAGGTAATGGGTTTAAAATATCCGAGCTTAAGGGTCTATCGAATCTTGAAGGTCGGCTTTTCGTTAAGGGGCTTGATAAAGTGATATGTCCAATCCAAGCAAATGATGCCAAGTTGCAAGAAAAGAAGGGTCTCGATGATTTTGTGATGGGATAGAGTGATGACTTTGATAATTCTCGGAATCATACAAGTGAATATGAAGTACTTGAAGAGCTAAGGCCTCATTATAAGTTGAGAAAGCTGGTGATTTGGTTCTATGGGGGAATGAAATTTCCTAGTTGGGTCGGGAATCCCTCGTTTGATCGGCTAACAGAACTTTCATTACGTGGTTGTAGAAGGTGTACATGTTTACCAGCACTTGGACTTCTACAGTCGCTTAAGGAGTTGTATGTGGAAAGCATGGATGGGGTAAAGACTTTGGGTTTGGAGTTGTTTGGATTTACTGATTCTTCCCACGGTATTGTATT